TTTATATTTGAAAAAATAAAATAAAAATAAAATTTTAAAATACAACGGTTGAAATACAATGGTAAAATTTTAAGTATTTTAATTACTTGCCTAATATTTAAATAATTGTATTTTATAAATTTCTTAGAAAAGAAACCTGTAATCGGTGTAGTATTTTAAATTTTAATTGTTATAAACAACACAATGTTAAAAATACACTATTATTTCTCTCTTTGAAGTAAATATTTACTACTTCTTCATTAAGTTTTACTTAAACAACGATGTGTCAATTCTTTCAAAAAGGTTCGCAATTTTATTTTAAAGAAATTAATTATAAAGAATTGCTTATTATGCATTTCAGCGCGCCATCTCGGATTCAACTATTTGACTATAACTATGATTGAATCTCAATGCCCACTTTAATCCTATAGAAAAGGACGGCCTTTAGGCTTATCCTGCCAATTATTCAAACTTTTCTTGCCATAAAAACCATCCTTGGACATTAAAAAATATTTTAAAAAAAGAATTAGCCAAATTGGTCTAAGCGTTGTTAAGTTATCCGCTTACTAACAGATTTTGAAATTCATTTTTATATTATAAATTTATAATATAGCCCAGGATATATTTCAAAGAGAAGTTTGTGGCACCCAAGTATAATCTACAGATGTTGTGGTCAAAATCTTAATTACAATCGTCGTTGAGTATTCGTATTCGCGCATGGTAGCTAACTTGAAGAGGCGATTAACACGCACGTCTATGCAAACAAGTTCGTGTACAGCATCCCGACCTCATGGGAGCCCTATCACCAACTCCCATCTCTCACCAGTACAACTCCTGTTCGTAAATGCATACATTCATAACCTCCACAATGCACACAATGCACACGTTTCCCCGACTGTACAGCGCTTGCAGCACATCTTTGTTACAAAGCAAAGGGATTCATGAATTCATGAAGATGCACAGGAAATTGAAATGCACAAAGCGAGATTGCATGTTTTCGATTTACACAAACAAACAATACCACCGACTAATGTAGCTATATATTTGATTAATTTGCTTCGTAGAAAATATTTCGCATGGATTTAATGTGTATTGTGTTACCTGTATAAAATGAAAATGACAGCCATTTAGAAAATGTTATATGAAGTCTGAAAATGTGTCTAAAGTGTCAGCGAGTCCTTTGTGTGAGCTATTCAATGCAGACGATTAAAAACATTAAAAATAACGACCGAGCACAATGCCCCAAAACGCCTCAATGGACGATAAAAACGAGCAAAATAAGTAAAAATTCGTATACTTTCAATAGGCGACAAACACGTGCGTGTTTGTATGGTGTGTGTCGGTGAGTGTTTATACGCCTGCGGTGGAAAAAAGTTAGCTGCACCCGACGGAACTTTCCACAAAGGGTTCATAAAGTTTGTATCGTAATACAAACAAAACGGGAATCGCGCGCCACCAACTCATAGGTACGACTTCGCCATGCGAAGAGCATTCGAACAGCGCAAACTATTGAACATTCTGGTACATTAAACATGTATTATATTGTCTGGAACATTAATACGGGTTTTCCAGCCGGGCGCCGAGCCTATCCTATCCAGATGGAAAGAGTTATTGCCCGTCTGTGTGCATAACTTTTTCCCACTTTTATAAATTTTCATTTCGAGCGGAACGCGTTCGTATTTTAATCGATTTCAATTTATGGTTGGTTGTAAAGTTCACATTATTTTATTTTATAGAAAAATTATATATCTAAGCGTGTGTGCATGAGAAAAGAAAGGTCAAAATATATCATTTTATATCTATAATATAAAAATGAATTGCAAAATCTGTTGGTAAGCGCATAACTCAACAACGCCTTGACCAATTTGGCTAATTCGTTTTTAAAATGTTTGTTTAAGTCCAAGGATGGTTTTTACGGCGAGAAAGATTCGAATATTTACCGGAAAAACCCTAAAGACAGCCCTTTTCTATTGGATAAAAGTTGGCATGGTGATTCCAACATAGTTATAGTTAAATAGTTGAATCCGAGATGGCGCGCTAAAGTGCATTATTTTCTTTAAAAAAAAATTGCGAATCTGATTAATAGAATTGACACATATTATGTCTAGAGAAATAGAGTAAAAACGAATTACATTTTTATTTAACACTACAGGGACGAAGTCGCGGACAAAAGCTAGTTTTATATATTTTAAGTAAAAAATAATTGACAGATGTAAAAAATCATTGAATTTCCAAAAATTAAATATTTATGATTTTCATTTTGTTCCAAATGTAAAATAAAAACAACAAACTTTATAAAATCGTATTATATGTTGTAAACTTTTAATTTCCCTTGGTGATACAATCATCCTGGGAACTCCTAACACCTTTTTGGATTTCATTCTACACATAAATTACAGCAATTATTTTTGTCAGCACAAAAACCTATTTTTTAATGAAAGAAACACTCAAAACTCATGCATGCTTTCATCTTTTCTCTTTAATTATAATTTAATGACAGCAACATCTTAACATTTTCTTTTTTCATTTTTTTTGTCGTTTTACACAAAGAAATAAAAATCAAGAAATTTTATTATTCATTGTTCCTTGTATTATACCACAAGAACCACAATGAAAATCATATTATATAGAAACTGAGCCAGAAATTTTATACACGACAATTTATATGCATGAAATACTTTGTTGTAAATCCGGTAAAGAATAATAATAATCAATGCGCCAGCAATTTCAGCGTCGACAGCAGAAAACCGCCGAATAAGAGAAGCCTGGCAGCTTTATTAGGCAATAAAAAGCTTCCGCTTAGACTCAATTGGGCATATCTAATTTCACAACGAACGGCGCATCCTACATACGCTAGCATGTTTGCAAATGAGCAAAATCGTTACCACAGATCCGCGGTTCAACCATTTCTGAAACCTCAGCCAAATAATATTTACATTCACGGTTCAATAAGTTCCAAGAAATAATTAAACAAGCGATATTTCAGCTGGCGCATATAAAAATTATATTTATAGTTATTTATTTATTATATTAAAAGTATTTTTTCTTAAGTTTTTACTCCGCTGACAACTCGGGTAACAAAAGAAAAGAAATATGATTTTTATTGCTTATAAATTCGTTACAACGATGTTATCCAAGCCTGCCGCTCGTAAATTTATGATCGCTGCGCATTTTGTATTCCGAATATTAATGATTTATGTGGCGCACAACGCAAGATATTGTCCGGTGTGAAACTGTGAAACTAGTCGACAAAAATCGCAAGAAACACGCTGGAAAACCGCTCATCAAATTTATAAAATCACGTCTAGACAACGCGCGCAAAAAATAAATTACGCACACGCAATGCCAGTAAAAGATGCACTGAACTAAATGTCATATTAATTAATCACACTCGTATCATAATAATTAATTATTTATATTTAATTTAATCGGAATACGAAATTATTAAAAATTCATGATTCAAATCAATAATTCAGTAGATATCAAGTAAAGTATAATGTATGTAGTCAAATGTTATTGCATTAGACGCAAACCATCTCGAAATATTTCACTTTTTATCTTTGTGTTTCGTTTTCGCTTGCTTTTCTCAGCGTCAGTTCTCGTTCGCGTTGTCTCGTCGCATTGTTTATTTCCCAAACAAATACAAAGGTATATGGCTGACAATTTTCATGGATTTCAGCTCGCTGCGCATTGTTTTCGAAAATAAAAACAAAAAAAAAACTCGTGATCATAAAGGTAAACAAAGATTCAAATCCTGCCACGCGTAGGAAATTCGCGCAGTGTTATTGTGACGCAGTGGTAATTAATCTGGATTTTTATTTTTTAAGGTTATTTATTGTTATTTTAGGATTAAAATGTAAAATTCCGAGTGTAGTATGTCTAAAAATACAATTTTACACACTCAATACACAATTTGACTTCCAACATGCAGTGAAAAATGCCCCCAAAGAGAATATCAAGTAATCGATTGTGTTGGCAACATTTCTATTCCTTCCTTTCTTCCGTTTGCCTCCATGTACTTTGCATACATTGCTTGCAAACGTTTTTTCCTTTAAGCTATAAATATGTCAAGCGCACAAGTATGATGTGCGCGGCGCGGTGATGTGATATCGCATGTGTTACACTTCTTGCTGTGGAGGCGCCGGGCAACACGCTTTCGTAATAAAACTGCTGGCAACCGCCGCAATTTCGCATTCAAAACGTTACGCACACCAACACACTACTACACCACCACTGGCTGTTGCCATTTGTGTGGGAGGGTGAAATTAAATATAAACAATGAACGCCGCCGCCGCCGCCACCAACATATGTTGCTTTCGCAACAAGACGCAAGAAACCAGAAACCGTCGAGTGAAATATTTTTACGCGAGAACTTCCAAGTTTAAAACAAACAAAATATAAAAAAAATAATACGAATACACTTGATATATGTAAAAGTGCTTTGAATAAAATTATTCTACGTATTTCGTTCGTTTATACCCTTCACGTTTTGTTCCTGACAGAATTCATGTTTTAAAATGTTTAATATTTATTTATTTAAATGCGTAATATTTCATTTCTGAGTTTTTGGCGAAAAATTATGTTTTTTCAAATTATTTAAATTTTTGTTTTGTCTGTGAACTCACCAGTACGTAAAAAATGTTATCTAATAACGTGGCATCGCTTTGATAAAGAAAGCACTCATTGGCGCGTCCCCCAGCGGTGTAGAATTGCGCGCATTCCTTTGATCTGCCGCTTAAATGTTGTCAAAAGCGTGGCGAAGAGCAGCGTTCAACACTAATGGTTTAGTAAATAACGTCGGCTCGAATAGCGTCATCATACGCGTGAAAATTTTAAGAAGTAACACAACAACCCAGTATTTTCAACAGGATCAACTCAAAATAAACATAATTAGCTAATTACACAAGGCGTCAGATTTTAACTCTTTATTTTTTCCACATTTCAGAATTTTTCAATTTGATTATCTTGTGCTTCAGTGGCCATTTAGTTGATTAAAACGTAAAATATTAAAATATACTCACTTATAACGTGTTAGTCCAAGAAGTTTACGTTGTGTGAAACTCAACTTGAGTTGATAAAGTTTGTAAACACGTGGTTGTAATGTGTAATGCGACTTATTGTTTAGTTCCGTTCCGCACAGTTTGTGCACTGAGCAACCAGCAGCAAAAGTTCGCTACTTTCAACAATGTCAATATCTATTAGGAAACTAGTGAAGCGTGATAACTAGTGATAACCACACACGTTCGTTTGATCACACTCTCGATGATGATGATGATGGTGTTCGACGTGCGCTGTTATTTTTACACGCGGTTTACGCGACGCGAGCGTAGCGTACGCGGACGCCAACTGCTGACGAGACGATGGTACGACGTCGACTGCGATGCGACGCGTTCGTGTAGGGCGTCAGTACCACCACCACCACTGGCCGCCTCCGACGCCGCCACCGCTCGTCGCGTGCGCAAATCAACCAGGTATATGCACTTCCACTACATCCAACTCACTATAATATGCGTAAACTGCACCAAAACACCTCATTAAATTTGGATCTCATCACAATACGACCTGATTTGCGACTGCTGAGTATTGACTGCATTCTTTAACTCCAGTGTTAAAATCAATCGGATGTTGTGATGTGATGTGATGTGACGTGTTCTGATGTAAAGTGTGGTTTGAGATGTCTATCAACATTTGACAGATGAGCGTCAATTACACTCGCTGTGACCGAGATGTCAATTAATCCGTGAAGTTCATAAACAACCTGGACCTAAACCACTCAATGTCTGGCGGTGTTTCTATATCTGTGGTATTATCGACCGAATGCAATTAGTTGCAATGTATATTGATAATAAATAATTAATTAATGTGATGTATTGCGTTGTATTCCGTGAGATTAATTTGAGGACTAATCAATTCGAAAAATATTTGCTCGACACTTTAACGACGTGATTTTATTCGCTTCTTTCGTGTTTGACTTCTTTTTGTCACCAAAGTTCATCTTGCTCATCAAATATTTATTTGTACAAATATTTACGCTGTATCTGTACTTTTTTAATTACGTCGTTAGGCAAATGTTGATATTATTGACGTCAAAAACTTTAGGTTTTGTTATATAACAATAAACTTTCTTTTTCTATTTCCAGCTTTAAAGCAACAGTTTTTCCACGTTTTCTAGACACAAAAAGTGGTACTTTAAACACGGATGGTCAAGGACGTGACTAAAAAGCTTTTGTCATGGGTTTTAGTCACGAGGTGGAGCTTGCGCCTGCGCGTCTACGGCTACATTTCCTAGTAGTGTGCGAGCGAATTTCAATGATTTAAATTACAAAAGTTTAAATACAATAATCCCAACGTGTAAAATACAAAAAATAGCGTAACACTAACGTGGCTAAAAGTTGTTAAACACTCGATTGATTAAACGCTTGCTACGCTTGTTCTCAATCAATCTCGTGACTAAAATCCCCGTTTAACCACTTGATACTTAATATACTATTTTTTTTTACTTTTTGATAATATAATATAATTTTTACCTGCCCCTGGCCTCTAAATTATTTTATCGTGTTCTTTGTAGTTAATAATTGTAATAATAAATCTTCAAGATCAAAGTAAGGCGATTCTTTGCGTAGAAACTTCCTTAAATTTTTTTTTAATATTCTTTCATAAAATTTACTTACTTTTTCTGGAATTTAACCTTTGCGTAAAACCGGAAAGAATTTCTGAGGTCATTTTATTTTATAATATTAAATTTTTGTACTATATTTTAATTCCGCACAAAAAATTTTATACTGTTTCATTTCTTTTGTTAGAATTTAAATTTCCACGTGTGCACACATATTTTGTATTATTTGCCTCCCTTGTGTTGCTATGCGTTTCAATCTAAAACGTATAATGTAATAATTTAAACCAAAAACGACAGAAAACAAAACGAGCGGCCGGAAACGACCGAAAGAAAAGAGAAGAAAAAAAAACACTCTATGCAAGGTAGTACAGCAAAAAACAAACGTGAACATTTCGCAAACCTCGAGGCGTCGCCAACGCTAATACATAAAGTATTCGCTTTTCCTCTCGAGCAAAGCAAGGTGGAAAAGAAACGGGAGAGGAAAATATGTAAAAATGGCCCGACGAACGTTCAATCCGACCTCCCGCGGGGCGAAACGCTAAGTAAAAAATGAGAGCCGCCCCAGAGAGCCACCAAAGACGCACGCCGTGCAAAATACGACCGTCCCCAAGTTCCAAGAACACACGTACCACCTAATGCTCGCATCGCCGCCGACACAGCCGCCGCCTGATGCTTCAAACTACGTAACCGGATTTTTAATGATTTAATCAACTCTCCGTTGAACGACATATTAAGTCCCTAGAACGGTACTCACCTCGCGTGGGTTCAAAATTATATTATGAGAGGACGATCTTTCTATAGCCCGAAATTTTTATGTCGTATTATAAGAAATTACCCGAAATTCAACACAAAGTAATTTAAGAAAAATTTAAGAAAAAAATCTTTACTTTACAATATTGTGTGTTTGTAATGTGTATAAACCAATAGAGATTACAATTCGGCAGCGTGTACTTTAAAAAGCTTTTAAGCCTCAAATCCTTCACAGTTTCACGGGCTTTTGCGATGCGGTTCTTCGTTAAGAGTTTTCGTGCAGAGTTGTGGTTTATCAAATTTTTGCTGAGCTTCTTGCGGCGTTGCGCGAGGCGTAAAACGATGGGAATTCCTTTGAGCACAGCTTTGCAACACCTTCGGGTGTTGCAAACTCACACGTCAGAAAATAAGTTGATTTTTAGGTATTTTTGACACGAAAAGTAAAATAAGCATAGGTAAATATGTTCAAAAATAGCAAAACATGATTAAAATTCATACGGAACGATTAATAAACCACAATTTCCTCATTCACTTCCAAGCTATTTTCATATTCATCATGAGTATTATGAACGTTTTGTTTTTGACGCAGTAATCAATCAATATCCGCACCTCACAGACATAAAATAATAATAATAAAATATTATAAGCTTTTGCCCGCGACTTTGTCCCGGTAGGTTGTGATAAAAATATAATTCTTTTTACTCCCTTGTTCTAGACATGGTATGTGTCAATTCTATCAATAAGATTCGCAATTTTATTTTAAAGAAATTAATTATATAAAGAATTGCTAATAATGAACTTCAACGCGCCATCTCGGATTCAACTATTTAACTATAACTATGATTGAATCTCAATGCCAACTTTTATCCTATAAAAAAAGCTGTTTTTAGAGTTTTCACGGAAATTATTAACTTTTCTCGCCGTAAAAACCATCCTTGGACTTTAACAAACATTTTAAAACAAGAATTGGTCAAATTGGTCAAGGCGTTGTTAAGTTATATGCTTACCAACAGATTTTGCGATTTATTTTTATATTATAAATAACATAAACAAATTTTTACGTCTATAAATAATTAAAACAATTTTTCTGATGGAAAAAGTAAATTTTTTCATTGAATAAATAATAAATATGGGTCAATCTTTCCTTCTCGCAGCGTAAAACATCAAATCCTATTTGCATCCTTGCGGTGAGGTGTAAATCAAAGTACAGCTTTATATTTTTATATTTTTTCCCGGCATCCGTAATGTTATAAGCTTTATAGATTGAAAGAAGCAAAAAAAAACATGCTATGAACTTTTACCACATGCCCAACCTACGAATCGTCCTATAGAAAACGAAAAAAAAAATCCTGCCTTGCCCATTAGATCTTAACCTGAAAGCAAAGTGCCTTGCGACAAAATGCTGACGCATCACGCATCACATATTTTCATCCCATCACATCACCTTACATCCATTACAGTGTTGTGTTATGTATTTTTTTATTTCTACATTAACCGAAAATAACTACGTATTGATTTTGCCCAAATTGGTAAACGGTTATTGTATTGTCAGACGGAAGATAAATTGCTTGCGGTGGAGTTAGTTTGAGCACGTTTTAATTTATTTGTTTGGCCAGGTAGTTGTAGTTTAGCACGTTCACGATTGCCTTTGACATCCGGTGGTAGTGGTCGTAGCTCTCTAATTGGGAGGATAAGTGTTTGCGGCGTAAATCGGCCTTTGATAAGCCACACACATACATAACCATAAATAAACGCAAATAAACACACCAGAGAGTTATGCGAGGCAACTTTGCGATCATCATTAATCAATATGTAATATTGTAATTGTATTAATCCATCGTAGGGCGTTTGTTTCGCGCATATCGATATGAAAGCCATGAATTATCCATTTGGATTCCGTTCGACTCAATTCAGACTATACAGTTACAATAATAAAACTTATATCACACATAATAGATAATAATTTATATGTTTTAAGAATATATTTTAATTATTTTGATGAAAATTTTCTCAAATCTGTTGCAAAAGTTATGTGAATAAAATTTATATTTATTATTTTGGTTAAATTAATATTTCTGCACCCTGTAATTGACTAATCACACCATGAATGTATAGTTTAACATTGCGAACATCATTTGGCACGCATTGACAGTGAATGCCGAATGAAGAGATATGCGAATGTTGCCTCCGGCGGCCGTTGTCGTTGTGCGGCTAATTTAATTTCATTTGATTAATAGGCCAACCGCCCCGCACACAAATGTGTGGCGTGTGGATGCGTGATATGTGAAGACGATGCAAAAATCGATCAGGACTATGCGGGAGAAATTTCAGCCGTTCGCGTCCGCCGAATGGGGTCGATAACTTCTAAGCGTTACTCAAGAACATACAAAAAAAGCTCTTTTGTCAACTGTTTTTCAAGTCTTTTATCTTGCTACACACATATATCTGGAGAGACTTCATGCCATGGGCAATAAAAATAAACGCAAAGAAGATTCAAATTGGAAACTTTCCGGATAACAAAGAGTTCACTGAATCCTTTTAACTGTTCTAGTTAAAAACATGTAGAGAATAAGAAAAATAACAAAAAGGCGAAACATTTACCAGAATTCGATGTAGGAGATTAGAAAAAACACTCACCTGAAACAAAAATAAGAAATATTAATTAAAATTCATTTTTAAATAAAATCTAACAAAAAATTAATAAAATTATTTTAATACTAGCTTTTGCCCGCGACATCGTTTCGGTAGTGTTTAATAAAAATGTAATTCCTTTTTACTCTCATGTTTTAGACATAGTACGAGTATGTGTCAATTCTATCAATACGATTCGCAATTTTATTTTAAAGAAATTAATTATATAAAGAATTGCTAATAATGCACTTCAACGCTCGGATTCAACTATTTAGCTATAACAATGATTGAGTCTCAATGCCAACTTTTATCTTATAGAAAAGGGCTGTTTTAGGGTTTTCCCGGCAATTATTCTAATTTTTCTCGCCGTAAAAACCAGCCGTGGAC